GTAAAGTTTAACAGTTTAAATAGGATAGCATTTAAATTATAATGATTAGTATGCTTCACGGCATTCTGTAACTTCACGGGGTTTTTGTTTTTTTAAAAAACTTTTTTTTTAAAAAAAAAATTTGTTTTTAAAAAAAAAACTTTTTTTTTTTAAAGAAAAACTTTTTTTAAATGATTTAAATAGAAATATATTTGAATTCTTTTCTTTTTTTACTTTTTAGTAATAAATTTTCAATAAAAAAATATTGCAGAAAGCACGCAGAATCTTTAGAAATACCATGGAAACTGCGCAGAATTTGTCAATCTGATTCGCAGAATTTGTATTTTAGCACAGACAGAATTGACCAATTATCACCGCAGAAAATCGGTGGCCCTGTTGATAATGTAACTGAATTAGAAGTTCAACTATGTGAATACTTCACTATTGCTGAAAAAGGAGATGGATCACCATATACTGTTTCATCATTATTAGCTGCAGTAAGGGCAATCAACAGGTTTTATAACTCAACTATTAGTAAAGTAAGGCCTGTTAATTTATGTGACCGACAAGCATTTCCAGATTTGTGGACAGTACTTGATGGTAAAACAAAGATCTTTCTGAAAAAGGATATAGTGAAACAAATGGATCAAATGCTTTGATATTTGAAGAAATTAGAATGATTTTAAGTCACAAAGCAACATCAAGAGATACACCTAATGGTTTATTATGCAGAATTTTTTTTTATAATGCTATTTTTTTAGCTTTAAGAGGAGGTGAACATTACATGCTTATGGCAAATCATTTTCATAAGAGAAAGATGGAGGTTTTGATGTATATATCTATAAGTCAAAAACAAATCAGCGTGGGTTAAACAACATTGGATCTGCTGATAAAATTACAATTTTTGCTGAGAATACTGATATAATTGCCAATTATGAAAAATATTTTTCAAAAAGACCAGTTGATGCTAACTCTGCATTTTATTTACATCCTGTTAATACAAAGGCTGCACCTAGTATGTTATTAGAGATTTAGTTTAATCGATTTTTTTTTAATATATATATTGCATATACGCACTAACTTTTAATTTATATTTTTCTATTTTAGATTATTCTTTAATTAATATCTGGTATCAAAAGAATCGGCTTGGTCAATTAAAAATAAAAACCTTTATGAAAACACTTGCAGAAAAAACTAGAATTAACTGTGAGGAACGTAAGATTATTAATCAAGCAGGTCATAAGACTCTTGTACAATGATTAAAGGATATTGGTACAACAGATTATGAAGTATCAACAATTACACGGCATCGATCTTTATCTGGAATTGCTCATTATGAAAGGCCAAAAGATGGTGTTCAACAATTTGCCTTAAATAATTTAATAGCTTCGATAGATTCTTCTGAACCTGTAACTGCTATATTGGGTAAGTAATGAAAAATAATACTATAATAAATAAATATAAATAAAAAATAACATTTTGTTTTTACAGATACTCAACATTCTCTTTCTGCGAATACACTTCCTACTAACAACTTGTATTAAGGATTTAAATCTGCAAGAAAAATTTATCAAGGCAAGTTTTTTTTATTAAAATAATTTTTTTAAATTTTGCGATTCTAATTCTAATTTATTTATATTTACTAGCCAACCTTGTATTGAACATGCCTTCTAATCTATCAAAACAAAAATCCCAAGTATCAACATCACGATTAACAAACCAATTAGCATTATCAGCTCCAGAACCAACATTACAGTTAACAGACCCTCCAACACTATTGAGCCCGGAAGTCTCAACACTAACAACAAACCATCCAGCATTATCAAGCCCGGAAGCTCCAACACTAACACCATTAGCAAACCCAAGTTTGAGACGTCCATTGCAGCCAATATCTAATAACTATGCTGAAATACAAAAATTGCATGAAATAATCGAAATTCAGGAATCTCAAAAAGAATTTTTTTAGAAAAATTTATTTACGAATTCAAACATTACATTTCATATACATAATCACTATTATGCATCACAAAAATAGATGTTTTTAATATTATATTAATAAATATTGAAACATTTCATATTTGATTTGTAACGATAATAAAATATATATATTAGTAAAAAAAAATGAGTTGCAATAACGTAATCTATACAAATATGAAAATTTTTAGTATAGTCATCAATTACTTGGCTGCACAATAATATAATTTATTATTTAGAAATAGTGTAAAGAACAAATATTATTAAGATTATATGCTTTCCTATGTTATGCTCTTTAAAATTATTTACAAACACGTTCAAGTTAAATAAATTCATAACTAATATCATAGACCATTTGAGTGCTGCAGAGCAAAAACTTGTAACTGATTATAATGATTTACTATGTTTAGTTACAGATTTTTGCTCTGAAGCACTTATTTGGAATAGACTACTCTGATATATTATTTTATTTAGAAATATATTAATAAATAGAAATATAGGTAAGGTATAATAAGTCGAATTAGATGTGATTATATAATTACAAGTTCATTGATTAGCTAATTTTTAATACTAAAAATGTTATAGCTGATACTGTAATTACTGAAATTGGTCAGTGCTGAAAATTAGAGATATCTCACAAAGACTTTGTAAAAATTCTGCACAATACAGTAATAGAAATAAACATGGGATAAGAGATTCATTATAATGATATTACTATTTTAATTTTTGTATTTTTTAAAAGAAAATTTTTAGTAATTAGTTTCTATATTGTTTTTACTGATGATAACTTCACTGACATATCATTTCACCAACAATCAATTCAATGATAAGTTCATTTCTTTGACAATTATTTCACTGACAAGTTTTTTTTAAAATTTCACTAATATTAATTCTAATTAATGATCAGAATTACTTTGTCAGTGAAATGAACTTGTCAATAAATTGATTATTAGTGAAATGTCACATTGATTAAGTAAGTGTCAGAATAAATAGAACCCAGTAAGGATTACTGTTAATATTATATTTATAATTATGATTTCAATTATAATTTAGAATAATTACCAACATAGTATATGAAAATGTAAAGACTTTTTTTCTAATTTGCTCAAATAGATTCTACCAAAAAAGAGTATCTATTGCAATTTTCAATAAGAACTTTATAGAAATCTATTTTGTTACAAGTTATTAATTGGTTTATATTATTATTCATAGAAGTTCAAACTACTTTTGAACAGGAAAAAAATAGTAACTTATAATTGTATTAAGAAAAACAAATGAGAATAAGTTTACAAAATATGTATATATAGTCAGCCTTCATTAATATCAACCTATCTGGGTTAGACAATTATGTTAATATATACAAGGCATGATAACAACAGGATATTTTTTATATAGCCTGTATCTATTTTTTTTTTAGTAAAAGTTTGATATTAACAAGAAGTTGATATTAACAAGATTGATATTAATGAGAGTTGACTGTATATTATATTGTACTTCATATATCAGATTTAAGTTATAGTTTAGGCTGTTCTGTTAATTCTGGTCAAATAATCTGACATCTGAAACAAGTGTTAATCTGAAGCACAACATAATATTCAAAACTAAATAAGTAAACAAATATGTACTATTTATTACTAACTTTGAATCTATAGTCAATCCATTTAGTGCAATATATAAGCTTATATAGATCAAACCTTCATCTACAATCAATAAATTTAGACACACTGCAAGAACCCAAATTGGATGTTCTATAGAATAGATGGCAAACTTCGCAACTCCGCTATTAAAAAATTAATGATTATTAATATTGCCCACCTATTCTATAGAATATTCCTCAAATTTAAGCATTGAACCTAATAATTTACTACTATCAAGTTTATATCTACAGCAAAACCTAATCTCAGTTTTTTTTTTTATATGAGGTAAGCCTCTAATCTTTATTAATTATTAAGTATTATACATTTTTTATACACCTACTCTCAAACTAATTTCGGAATATGAGACTTGGACTACTTTATCTGTGATCTAAACCTACTATTGTATTCTATATTCCTATTTATATCATATCTGGTTTTGTGTTTTACAACTAACTAATTTTAGCTATTCAACTATATTCTGACCATAACTTACAATCAAATCTTAGTAACTCCTAATTTGGTTCACTTGGATTTTTGGTCTTTAAAAACCTCCTAAATTAGTATACTTGCAGTATAGATAAAACTAACATCCACAGGTCTTAATATTCTTTTTTTTTGTATTTTATATACTGCATACTTCTTTATCTCTTATATACTCTCTTTTTATGATATTCATTAGAAACTTGTTTTAAGATATATCTTTTTTAACTATAGACCTTTGTTATACATATTATATAACTTTCAACTTTGGATATCTTAATCCTGATTGGTGTAGTATTTATACTGATAAATCTTTAAGTTTTTTTATCATAGACTTCTATATAGGTGTGATCAGAATCTGATTTGATACCTTTAGTTATATAGAAACAGAATTATGTCCTCTACACTAAATAACTTTCTTAAGTTAGTTGTTTTATAATGCAAGAGGTAGTGTTCGAAAAAGTTAAATCAGATCAGATTTGGATTTTGATCTAATCCCAACCGTCGGATCAGTTTTGGCTCAAAAAATTTAGATTGGGCTAGATTGAGCAAGATTGAGCTTAATTTTAGAATCATCTCTTTATATAATTACAAAATGTGATAGATTCGAATTAGTCACAGGACAAATTCGAATATATCACATTTTGTGTTACAATATATGTAACAGGTTTGAATATGTCATATGACAATTTCGAATTTATCACATAATATATCACAATATATATGACAAATTTTGGATCAACCATTGGATTGGCCCTAAATTAGACTCAGATTAACCCAAATTTCAGATTCAGATTGGATTTAAATCAATCCTAGATAAACCAAGATTTTTAATCTGATTTCAAGCACTAGCCAAAGGTGCTTTCAATTCTAGTTAAGGTATGATCCTTTATTATAGTCTATAGTTATATATCACTACTTCTCTTATGACTCTAGTTTTAGTTATAGGTGTATTATCCTTTTAAGCAAGTACCTCACAAGTTAGATATAGAGATGTTGATATTGCCTTTTGGTTATCCAACTAGAAGACTTAATTTGTGCAATTTTTCATATAACTGAACTTTTTGTGATACCGCTATCATATATAATACCTGCACTTCACAACTTAGTCTCTTTTTAAAAACTCTTTATTCTGGTTTTGTACTGTATTTAAGGCTTTGTATTTGATTTTATGACACCTGTAGATTACAAAAGCATATTTTATTAAAATTTGGCTCCAGTCTGACTCGAACTATTGACCTAGTCTGTGGAGGTTTGGGAGCTTAACTGCTAAGCTATAGAGCCCAAACCTTCTAATCTGGATTTTTAAACTTAAAAAAACTAATCATATTAGATGATTAAAATTATTTGAAAAATAAAGAAGCTTTTTGATTATGATTGTCATAGCGGCTTACCATAAAGTTAGTAGTTCAATATCAAACTAAACTATGTTTTGAATATGGCTTGATAAATCAATCTCTGTTAAAAATATTCCTGAGTGTCTTTTTTTTTTAAACAGTTGGCTGCTATATGCATCATAATGGATTGGTAGAATTTGACCTTTTTAAATACTCTGAATTTATAGGTTCTTATTTGATATTTCAATTTATATAAA